AGATAGGGGCCCTCGCTGCTAAATATCTACTCCAAAGGTCTCCGAAAGTGGATTTGTTAAATTACAGAAGGTCAGCAAGTTTTTCAATCCAAGAGCATAAACCAACAGCAAACCTTTAGGTTCTTGGAGATCTGTTTTTCCAATTGCTCATCTTCCTCTTCACTGTCTCCCTCCTCCTCTTCATCATTTTCAGAACTCGAAGCACAAGGTGGCACACTGAAGGAGTTCTCTAAAATCTGAGCAGGCAGTGACTGCAGTAGCTCTTCAAGGGGCAGCTCACTCTCCTGCTTTAGCAGCTCTATCTCCCTTTGCTGAGTCTCCAAATCATTCCCTTCCTGTTGTTCTTCTACCTCAATTGTCTCCTCATCATCCGATTCTTCATGGGGTTGGAAATCCCCATCTGGCAAGGAAGAAAATGAGAGATGAGATACAATTCCCAAAAGTGAAGAAAAATCTTCCCTCAAAATGATGGATAATTGCACTTTTGTCACACAAGGACAGGGCACAAGCAATGAAATTCACATGGCATTTCTGCATCTAAATTTCTGACCTTCATCTGCAGTGAGGTGAGCAGAGGGTGGCGGACTAGAGGCAGTGGACCCAGCATGTGAACCACCACTTCTGCTGGAAACTGGAAAAGTCTCATTGAGACTTTGGGTGAGTAGGTCTGAGTATTTCTCTGTCTGGCCCACTATGAAATCCAGTTGTAGGTCCAGGGCTTTTTTCCGTTTCTCCTCCAGGCGTGACTGCTGCTTGAACTGCACAACCTGAGGGCAAAGAGCAAAGGAAAAATATCTCAAAATTCATCTGCCCGTAATACCTACAATGCCATTGGAACTTGCATTTGAATTTAAGACAGGTCTTAAATTCACTGAGGACCCACTGTTTTTGAAACTTCAATAGCAATGACTCCAGATCAATATTTCTCAACCTGGGGGTTGGGACCCCTGGAGCAGTCACGAGGAGGGTGTCAGAGGGGTTGCCAAAGACCATCAGAAAACACAAGATTTTCTGTTGGTCATGGGGGTTCTGTGTGGGGAGTTTGGCCCAAGTCTATCGTTGGTGTTCAGAATGTTCTTTGACTGCAGGTGAACTATAAATCCCAGCAACTGCAACTCCCAAATGTCAAGTTCTATTTTCACCAAACTCAACCAGTGTTCATATTTGGGCATATTGAGTATTTGTGCCAACTTTGGTCCAGATCCATCATTGTTTGGGTCCACAGTGCTCCCTGGATACAGATGAACTATAACTCCAAAACTGAAGGTTACTGCCCACCAAATCCTTCCAGTATTTTCTGTTGGTCATGTGATTTCTATGTGCCAAGTTTGGTTCAATTCCATTGTTGATGGAGTTCAGAATACTCTTTAATTGTAGGTGAACTATAAATCCCAGTAACTACAATTCCCAAATGACAAAATCAATCCCCGCAACCTCACCAGTATTCAAATTTGGGCGTATCGGGTATTTGTGTCAAATTTGTCACAAATTTGCCCAGTGAATGAAAACACATCCTGAGTATCAGATTTTTACATGACATTTCATAACAGTAGCAAAATTACAGTTATGAAGTAGCAACAAAAATAATTTTATGGTGGGGGGTCAGCATAACATGAGGAACTGCATTAAGGGGTTGCAGCATTAGGAAGGTTGAGAATCACTGCTCTACATCAACACCTTGGTTGCCACTTCTCTCATCAAAACTAGAAATGTGGTGCAATACTCTTTCAATAATCCATTTACTTAAAACAATGAATACAGACAGGTCAAGGGAGAATTGACTGCTATAGGATTCAACATGTACAGACTTCTCTGGCCAGCCGGAGAATACACAGGGTATAAGATGCCAAAACTTATAGATTATTGTGTAAGAATTCAAGTTTAACAGCTGACATTCCGTTTCAAGTATATTTACCAATCAAACAGTATGAACAAATGTATATGCTTAGAGGACTCTGGTGAAAAGTCTGTTCATGTTATTGGTTTGATGGGGTGATACAGTTGGAAGATGGCACTTACGCAATTTAAAGAGGTAAAATTAAATACAGTTTTCATGATATAAAATAGATGCCTTGGGTACCTTTTCAACATTGCTCCAAAACTGCTTGACTTCTTTAGCAATGGATGAGGCAATACGGCGCAGCTTAGCCTGTTCCTCCCGTTTGGCTCGTTCTTCTTTCTGCTTCTGCTCTTCATGATGCCTGATCACCATGCGCACAACCTGCATCAAACAAAGTAAGGAGGGACAGAGACCGTCATCCACCACCACTGTCCATGAGGCTATATAATTCCTCTTCCTATGCCTAGAGCTTAGAAAGGGTTATGCAGCTTACCATAGCCTTTAGGGCTGGAAATTAAATATACATTTCACTGCAATTCAGAATAGCAAAAGGTGGCCTTGGATGCCACAAAAATGCCTTCAATTATAGCAAAAATCACACAACAATTCAAAAATGCCCCATGTTTGTGTAACAGATGTCAGCAATGAAATACGTAATTGAAATCTGGATAAATATCAAATATTAGTTGATGACTAGAGAACAATTTGAGACGGGAGATGGAACTCACCTTTCTCGCGACACCCCTTTTCCAGCGGCGCTCTTGGGCAAAATCAGCAGACAGCCATTGCATCTCCTCACAAAGATAATCCCAGTGCACTTTGGCCCGAACTGGCTCCGGCACCTTCGATAGTCTTTTTAGAGACCAGAATCCCTCCTTTTTCATTTCTGCAATGCGATTCTCAATCTCCGCTTCCTGAAATAAAGTGTCCATGTAAGATACCACATTTCCAACCTTTGAACTGCAGCTTGTAATCAGCCAGTATACAGCCCAACAGCTTACATCCCCCTTGAATGACTCAGAACCATGCATGACTTACATGCTTGGCCTGCTCAGCAATTTCCGCGTGGGTCTTGTCCCACATGCTTGCTGGGTCAGGGGAGGTGTACATCCCAGGCGACACGAGGGCTCTGGTTTGTGCCTTGGAAACATCAAAACTCAGGTGACTGTCCAGAGAGGAATCGTGAGTGAGATGTGGTGGGGAGATACTGCCGCTTGAGGCAGGTGAGCCCGAGGAGGCTGGTGACACTGGATTGCTGCCCGTCATTCTGTCTGATGTATTCTGGGGAGAAGGGGTAGAGACAGAGAAGATGTTGGAATCGTAGCTTTGATCCTTGAAAGGGAACCACCAGTGTGGGAAATTAAAGACAAGCTTCTCTTGTTTTGCTTCCGAAGCTGCCCCTCACATAGCACTCCACATACCATTGGGGAAGCATTTCAAATCCATCTTGAGAGCCTCTGTCAAACCACCAGCATTCTGGTGTTGTATTCCAGTTTGAGAGTCTAAGACATGAGGACTGGCACTGTGACTCCTCTCCCATCCAACTCTACCTGTGTGTGAAGCATGTGGTGCTGTTGCGGTGGACTGCTCTGCATTTTAATTCTCTCTTGCTCTTTGCTTCTCGTCCCAAAAGCTTCGGCTGTGGTTGTAGCGCTGGTGTCCTGCTCAAGTGCATGCTGGGAACCGGCCTCATTCTGGTCAGCCAGCCACTGGGACGAGCCGTCCAGCTCCTGGGTTCCTTGGCAGCCCAGCCTGCGCTCGGGACTGCCTGTTTCAGAATTAGCTGAAGAGATCAAGGAAGAGCAATACAAATCTGGATTGAACAGACCTTATACACTAACACCATAAATAAAAATTGAAACATACCAACCCAATATTAACAAGCTTTCTGTTTACTGTATCAGTAGCCTTTGAAGTTTGAGAAAGCACCATAAGGCTGACAAGGAATTCTTGGATGAAATAATATTTCCACTGAAACATTATGTTTGCAAGTTCTTCTGGATTCACAGTTCTCTGAACTACAGAAATGGCTGGGATGGCCAGGAGTACTTTTTACTATTTGAAACAATACATATTTGGATGCTATCTGCCTACATATTGGGATACTATTACCAATAAATACACTGTTCAGTAGAAAGATCAAGGCATTTGAAACAGTGGCTCCTTATAAAATTGAATGTCCTCCCTTAATATCTTATCTTTAGCTCCTTGTAGGTAAGTCTCTAATTAGTACATGTTTAGTTCCACCAGCTTTTGGATAAAGAATGTTTAAATGGCTGTTTTGAGGTTTTTTTCAGATGACAGTCTTTTAAAAGCTGTGAGTAGCCTTAACCATTAATGTATTCACTATTAATGCAATGCATTGTTGATTGCATCCTAACTATTGCTCATGTCTTTCATCCAATGGCAGTGTTGCCGGTACCTGTGTGAACTGAGAAGTCCTCTTGCTTTTCAGACTGTACTTCCAGGGTTTCGCTTTCCTGAGGAAGACTACTCCTGAAAAAAGATACAATTGTCAGGACAGGAGTAATTCTTTCATGAGGCACTTGTGCTACATTTATTGATGGGAATCATTCACTTTTTTCTCTTAATCCAGGGTACCCCGTGACTCTGAAGCACAGATCAAACTCTGTTTCCCCACAACTGCAACACAGACAGGGAATAGCCTGACTGCAGATTGCAATGGAGAGTTTTAATGTAAGCACCAGCTACCAAATCCAAGCCTACGAAAGAGGCAAGAACCTGTTTGGGGTGCTCTTGAGAGTCATGAAGACAAATCTTTCATTAATCTCACACTTTGTTAAGATTAATCTAGCCTTTGTCGGCACTGCACACTGGCAGTGAAACATGAATAGTTTGTAAAAGTGCCTCCCACCAAGTCCTGGGAATCAGAAATTTGTATTTTTCAGTATCCACCCCCAACCTTGATTCACTTTGTGTTTTATTTTCCTCTACACTCACCTTTGCTCTAGAAGTGTCAATATTCTGCCTGCCACTCTTGGATCATTATTCTAGAGTTTTTCCTGCTCCATTTTCTTGTCACAGGTCTTTGTAAGTCTACTTAATCTAGCAAGCTGGGAGTTTACAACTTAAATTACTTCCCTTTTTGATCGATCTCTGCTAACTTTTTGTAGTTTTCAGTTAACTTTTAAATAACTCATTATTCTATGACCCCTCGCCTTTAACATCAACACTATACGGAGCTATTGTGAAATTCTATGGCTCTCTCTGGATCCTGCTAACCCCCTCTACCTCCAATGCTGGCACATTCTCAGCAGTCACATGCTGCTCTAGCCTCCGCACCTTCCGTTCAACTTGTTCCAGAATGGAACCAGTCTTGATGCTACTACCAGGAAGACTGTCTATACTCTCTATCTTTACTCCTCTGACATGCAAGCCAACTGGGCCTTCGCCCCACATAGCTCGCCTCATTGCATTATACCGTTTAATTGCAATTCCCATCACACCATCCCGCCAATCTTTTAATTGCTGCCTCCCAGTCAACAGGCCAGGACTCCGTCGTTCTGATGTCAAGGTAGGGCTCTGGGGTTTTATGTCTGAGCTACGGCCTGCTACGGAGAGGGGATCCACGGTCCCATCTGATCCCAGAACCTTCTTCAGCCAATGTACATTCTCTGGCTTGCCTGCAAGCCCAATCATCCTTCTTCCCACTCCAACTTTTGGTGGTTCAGGACTTTGGCCTGCTGACTTTGATACACCCTGGCCTGCTGACTTTGATGCACCCTGACCTGCAACCATCATATCAATTCGTTCCTTTATTTCTGCACGCAACGATCTTAAAGTGAGCCCATGTCCTGACCCTAGACCAGCAGTCCAGCCAGAAGTTGGTCTTGATGCTGCATAACCCCCGGACAATGGTCTCCCAAGCCATGTCAAGTCTATCCCTTCTAGACCTTGCCCTATTTCATCAGTTACATTAATTTCCCGAACCTCCTGCTCCTTAACATCTTGTTCTTCCTTGACTTGTTCTAGCTGCTCATGACTGGACAGCTTCCCTGCCTTTTCTAACCCAGGCCCTTGCTGTAATGCCGCTGCCTCTAAATCAGACTCTTCCTGAAACATTACTGCCCTGTTATCTGTCTTTGAGAAACAGGACATCCCTTCTCGTCCAATTCTGTAGCCCATAAGTACCACTCTTTCACCCGTTTTGCCTCTTGTCCAGTAGCGTTCTGGATCAGGTGACTGGATCTCCCTCTGTGCTGATGGCCTCCTCTGTGCTGATGGTCCCCTTTCTAGCTGCTTGTGATCCTCTTTTATAAGCCCCCTTTGCTCAGCCTGTGCAGTTAAACTGGTAATAATCAACCCTGGAGCCAGGTGGTCCAGTACTCCCCCTCGCCCTCCAGTTGGCTTCATTGCCCCATGATGTACTGACACAATTGGCCCCTGGCGCAGTCCTGCCAATCCTGTAATTATTTTCCCCTTTCTCATACGCCGCTGTTCTTTACTTCCTCCAGGTGTGGGCTGTGATGAACGCATTGACACTGTTGAGGAAACTGGTCGACCCGATTTTTCTGTCACAGAGAGTGTTTGCCTTGACAAGTCAGGTGTCCTCCAGCCTACTTTGGCAGGTAATGCAGCCTCTTCCTGACTAAGCTTAGCCTTTTTTGAATCCCATCTGGATGTAACCTCCCCAGACACTACTCCTGCTATCTCCTGAGTTGGTCTTATTAAATCCTCACCAAACTTGGACCTCCGAGCCAACACTTTTTCCTGAGAAGGTATCTTTATTTCCACAGCATCAAACTGAGGCTTACTCAATACCTTCTCAGCTACACTTGGCTCTGCTGTCTGATCCCATCTGGATGTAATGTCCCCAGGCACTACTCCTGCTATCTCCTGAGTTGATTTTATTAAATCCTCAGGAAATGTGGACCTTCGAGCCAACACCTCTTCCTGAGAAGGTATTTTTCTTTCCACAGCATCCAGTTGAGATTTACTTAATACCTTCTCAGCTACACCTGGCTCTGCTCTCTGATCCTGATATACCTCTGCCTCACCCAAATCCTTGGCTAGTGCAACTTGCTCTTTTCCAGTTTCCTCCAAAGATTCCAACTGCTTGCCTTCCCCCTGATCAAATCCTTCCAGATCTTTGCTGTCTCTTTTTTCTGGTGCTACTAGCTCTTCAACTTTTTCATGAGTCTCTCTTGATTCCATATCTTTAGTCCCCTCCTCATCACTTTGCAGAGGTATTCCCTCCAGGTCTTTTATGGGAACCTCGTCTTGCATTGGCAGTTCTGCTTTTTCTCCTGCTTCTTCCAGACTTTCTGGCAATATAATTTTTTGCTCCATGGTATCCTGTGTTTCAGTGTGTGCCACTGCTGGTACTGTATCCACTTTTTCAGTTGCAACATCAGTTGTCCCTGAATCCTCTTCAGCCACTGCTAATACCACATCTCCCGCTACAGTAACTTCACGTTCAACAACTATGGCAACATCCTCTTCAGTCTTGCCCTTATCCATGGCTAAATCCACATCCTCTGCTTTCTTCTCGTCTGTTCCAGGCACCTCCACAGCTTCTATCTCATCAACCATTTTTTTAATCTCATCAATTTCAGCTTGACTTACACTGACCTCTTCAGCCCTGTCTATATCTTTCTCTTTCCTCAAATCTTCTAGGGCTGCCTCAGCTTCCACCTGATCTACTGCTGGTGTAACATCCTCATTTCCAGTTACCTGCTCTACCTCTCCCTGACTTACACCTATCAAATCTTCAGTCTCCCTCTGAATTACAGTATCCTCCTCTGGTACTGTGCCATCTTCCTTCTCACCCACTTCAGGAATTATATCCTCTCTTATTGTTACCTGGTCCAGCTTTTCTTGGCTTGCTCTTAACAAGTCTTCCACTCCCCCCTGACTAACTGTCACTCCTGCATCATCCTCTGTCTCTTCTGCCTTGTCTTGTTCCATAGCTAAATCCACATCCTCTGCTTTCTTTTCTTCTGTTCCAGGTGTCTCCATGACTTCCACCTCATCCACATCTTTCTTTTTAATTTCTTCCTCCACTTCTCCTTGACTTACCCCGGCCTCTTCAACTTCATCTACAGCTCTCTTTTCTAAGACTGCCTCAGCTTCCAACTGATCTGCTGGTGACATACCCTCATTTCCCGTTAACTGCTCCATCTCTCCTTGGCTTACCCTTGTCAAGCCTTCAATCTCCCTCTGATTTGCTGCAGATACTATATCCTCTTCTGCAGTCTTGCTCTCTGTCTTGCTCTGATCTGCTTCTGACATAATCTCGGTCTGATCCATTCCAGAGGCCAGGTCTTCTTTCCCAATCTCCACTTCAAGTGTCTCTTCGCCTGCTTCAACCAACACTTGATCCTGTCTCTGATCTATGGTTGATTCCTCAACTCCCTCTTCAGTCAACACCTGTGTTTCTACCTGGATGAACTCCACCAACTCTTCCTGCTCCCTCTGAACCTCTGCTGATGCAGCATCTCCTCCAACAGTTACATCTGGCAGCTCCCTTTCATCTGTACCAGGTGCCTCCTCAGCTTTTTCCTGGTCAACTGCAGGTGCCCTTTCCTGTTCCTCTTCAGTCTTTTCCAGGTTTTCTCTTTGTTCCAGTCCTGACAACTTCTCAACCTCTTCCTGATTTTCTACTGATTCAGACACATCCTCTCCGCTCTCTCCCTCTGTATCCCTACGTTCTGATCCTGACACTTCTTTAGCCTTTTCCATTACCAAATCCTCCTCACCAATAATCTCCTGAATTTCTTTCTCGATTCCAATTAACATAACATCTTCATTTTGATCCCCTTCCTCAGAATCTGCATGTTCCTCTTCCTCCCCATCCTCTACTCCTGCCAAATCCCTAGACTCCTTTCCATCTACTTCAAGAATCAATTCATCTTCTTCTCCAGCTGGCACTTCTTCTACAAGTGCAAGTTCCTCTTCCATCTCCTCTCCAGTGTCACCTTCAGCTTCCCTTTCATCTGGGCTTACATTCGTTTCATCGTGATCTTGTTCACTTGATGGCCCAGTTTTTTCTTGCTCCTCGGTTTTCTCAAGTTCTGCCATCTCTTCAGCTTCTTCTTCAATCACATCTAAAGCCACCTCTTTTTCAATCTCTTCGTCTTCCCCCAAATCATCAACTGCCTCCTGATTCGGTTCTGCCAAATCTTCAGACATGTCCTGTTCTGGTCCGGTCGACTCCTCATCTGTCCCAGTAAGTAACCTTGATGCCTTCTTACCCATTTCATCTATTGGCTTCTCTTGGTTCCTCGTCTCCTCTTCTTCCTCATTACTAGACTGACTTTCAGCATGCCCCTCCATGTTGTCACCCATTTCCTTCTGGCCTTCTGTTTCTTTCAAAATGTCCCACACCGTTTGATGATGCTATATAATTTTAATCCGACTAGCCTCTCCACCCCCAAAATGTTACCCCAAATCCCCGTCACTCTTAGCAGTCTTCTTACCCCACTGTTGTTTTGATATCCTAATATCCCTGATGCCCTTTCACTTCTGATATTTTGTTTCGTTCAAAACATTCTACACTGCTGGATAAAAGTGGACTGGATGTAACCCTACTTTTGATACCAATTCTCTATTTCACAGCTGGATACCAATTTCAGTACCAATTCTCACTCAGTTTTACTGCTGGATAAAAGCTGACTGGATGTAACCCTACTTTTTAGAACCAATTCTCTGTTTCACTATTGGATAAAAGGTAGTCTGGATGTAACCCTACTTTTCAGTACCAATTCCCATTCAGTTTTACTGCTGGATAAAAGTTGACTGGATGTAACCCTACTTTTTGGTACCAATTCTCTATTTCACTGCCACTGCCAGGTGGACTGGATGTAACCCTACTTTTTAGAACCAATTCTCTATTTCACTACGAGATAAAAGGTAGTCTGGATATAACCCTACTTTTCAGTACCGATTCTCTCTATTTCTACAAACCAGCCCTCAACTTTTTGGTATCCCTCCAACACGACAACACTTTTGCACCTCAGATCTTCAAAGGGTCTACTTTTGATTTGTCTGCTTCATTCAAAACCTTCCACAGGGCTGACTAAAACCAAACTAGACGTAATCCTTCTTTTTCATACCAATTTCCCCTCTATTTCTCACCCCAAGGCTTTGATATTTGCCTTTGAAACCCAGATTCACTTCTGGACGTCTATTTTATTCCAAATTTTCTACAGAGGTGGGATAAAAACTGATCTAGAAGAAGCCCTTTTCTATACCAATCCAAAGATCTTTTAAACCTTTCTATACCGATTTGGATGAAGCCCTTTTCTATACTAATCCAAAGATCTTTTAAACCTTTCTATGGCAATCTAGATGCAACAGTTTTCTATACCAATCTAAAGATCTTTTAAACCTTTCTATACCGATTTGGATGAAGCCCTTTTCTATACTAATCCAAAGATCTTTTAAACCTTTCTACAGCAATCTAGATGAAGCCCTTTTCTATACTAATCCAGATGCAACAGTTTTCTATACCAATCTAAAGATCTTTTAAACCTTTCTATACCGATCTAGTTGAAGCCCTTTTCTATACTAATCCAAAGATCTTTTAAACCTTTCTATGGCAATCTAGATGCAACCCTTTTCTATACCAATCTAAAGATCTTTTAAACCTTTCTATACCGATTTGGATGAAGCCCTTTTCTATACTAATCCAAAGATCTTTTAAACCTTTCTATGGCAATCTAGATGAAGCCCTTTTCTATACCAATCTAGATGCAACCCTTTTCTATACCAATCTAAAGCTCTTCTAAACCTTTCTCCCTGAGCCTCCCCTGACTTTAGAGATCCCACACGTACAAGGCCTCAGCCTAAGTGCTCCAGGTCTCCCAGTGGTGTTTGGACGTGCCCAGCCTTTGCCCCCAGCTTTGCCCCTTACAGCCTCATCCTTTGAGTGCGCCTTTGCCCCCTTCCCCAGACCCTTCGAGCCTTTCTTTCCCCTTTTCCCCCTCCCTCCCCCCTCCCTCCCTTCCCACCCTCCCGTCCCCTCAGTTTCCCCGCTGGCCCCTCCCCCTACGCACGGAGTCCGTTGGTTGGCCGGTTTCGTGGCGCGCGCGGCCGAAGGCGCAGAGGAGGAGGGGGGGAGGGGAAGCCAGAGCGACGTCGGCGGTGAGTGAAGTCATAATAGGCCGGCTCTGAGCGCCGCCATTGGCTCGGCAAGCGCGTGCGCCCTCCCATTGGCTCAAGGGTCCCCTCGCAGGGCCCGCCTCCCCTCTCGGCGGCCCTCTCCCTCGCGCGCCCTCTAGAGGCCGGGGGTGTGAATGGCCGAAGAGAAAGAGGGCCCCATTCTCCTCCTCTCTCTCCCTCGGTCCCTTTCCGAATTGGGAAGGAGGAGAATGGGAAGGAGGGAGAGAGAGAGAGCGAGCGCGGCGAGAGGGAAGCAGGCCCGGGCCCGTCCGCCATCTTACCTGGGTGGGAGGGGGGAGGAGGGAGGAGGGAGGGGAGGCGCCTCCTGCCCCGCCTCCTCCTGCCGCCGCCTCAGCCCCAGCGCCGCCGCCGCCTCGGCCGCAGAGAATCCGCCGCCATCCGTGGCCCTGAGGCCGCCCCCGCCCGGCCGCTCCTTCCCCGCGGGTCCCGCCGGTGCTGCCCGAAATGCCGCCGGCCCCTCGCGCTCGGCGGCCGCTCCTTCACCGGGCCTCGCAGAGCCAGACCCGACCCGCCGCGGCAAAATGGCGGCCGCCACCACCAAGCGCCAGGGCCAGCCCCCTCCTTCCCTCCCTCCCTCCTCCCACCGCTCCCCCCGCCCGCCGCGGACGGGCAAGCCTCGCGAGAGTTCCGGCAGCGCGAGAGTGGCGGGGAAACAAAACCGTCTTCGACGCAAGATGGCGCCGCTCGCCTAGGGTCACGCTGAGAGGCTTTGGTGGAAAGAAGGGCAGTCTGGCGCCACTATTCGAAAGTATTATCGAAGGCTTTCATGGCCGGAATCACTAGGTTCTTGTAGGTTTTTTCGGGCTATAGGGTCATGTTCTAGAGGCATTTCTCCTGACGTTTCGCCTGCATCTATGGCAAGCAGCCTCAGAGGTAGTGAGGTCTGTTGGAACTAGGAAAATGGGTTTATATATCTGTGGAATGACCAGGGTGGGACAAAGGACTCTTGTCTGCTGGAGCTAGGTGTGAATGTTTCAACTGACCACCTTGATTAGCATATAATGGCCTGACAGTGCCTAGAGCAAACTTTTGTTGAGAGGTGATTAGATGTCCTTGTTTGTTTCCTCTCTGTTGTTGTGCTGTTGTAATTTTAGAGCTGGGGGTGCTGACGGCCGACAGGGAGCTCTGGCGTGGACTGGTCCATGAGGTCACGAAGAGTTGGAGACGATGAACAACAACAATATACATACACACACACACACACATATATATATATACACACACATATATGTTGTTGTTCATTCATTCAGTCGTCTCCGACTCTTCGTGACCTCATGGACCAGTCCACGCCAGAGCTCCCTGTCGGCCGTCACCACCCCCAGTTCCTTCAAGGTCAAGCCTGTCACTCCAAGGATACCATCCATCCATCTTGCCCTTGGTCGGCCCCTCTTCCTTTTACCTTCCACTTTCCCCAGCATAATTGTCTTCTCCAAGCTTTGCTGTCTCCTCATGATGTGACCAAAGTACTTCAACTTTGCCTCTAGTATCCTTCCCTCCAGTGAGCAGTCGGGCTTTATTTCCTGGAGGATGGACTGGTTGGATCTTCTCGCAGTCCAAGGCACTCTCAGCACTTTCCTCCACACCACAGCTCAAAAGCATCGATCTTCCTTCGCTCAGCCTTCCCTAAGGTCCAGCTCTCACATCCGTAGGTGACTACAGGGAATACCATGGCTTTGACTAGGCGGATCTTTGTTGCCAGTCTGATGTCTCTACTCTTTACGATTTTATCAAGACTGGACATTGCTCTCCTCCCAAGAAGTAAGCGTCTTCTGATTTCCTGGCCACAGTCTGCATCTGCAGTAATCTTTGCACCTAGAAATACAAAGTCTGTCACAGCCTCCACATTTTCTCCCTCTATTTTCCAGTTCCGTGGTCAGTTCTGACTGTTGCTACTTGGTCCTTGTACAGATTCCTCAGGAGAGAGACAAGGTGGCTTGGGATGCCCATCCCACTAAGAACTTGCCACAATTTATTATGATCCACACAGTCAAAGGCTTTAGAATAGTCAATGAAGCAGAAGTAGATGTTTTTCTGAAACTCCCTGCCTTCTCCACCATCCAGCGGATATTGGCAATTTCGTCTCTCGTTCCTCTGCCTTTTCTAAACCCAGCTTGTACATCTGGCAACCTCTCGCTCCATGTATTGCTGGAGTCTTCCTTGCAGGATCTTGAGCATTACCTTACTGGCATGAGAAATAAGGGCCACTGTACGGAAGTTTGAGCAGTCTTTCGCATTTCCCTTTTTTGGTATGGGGATATAAGTTGATTTTTTCCAGTCTGATGGCCATTCTTGTGTTTTCCATATTTGCTGGCAAATGGCATGCATCACCTTGACAGCATCATCTTTTAAGATTTTAAACAGTTCAGCTGGGATCCCGTCGTCTCCTCCTGCCTTGTTGTTAGCAATGCTTCTTAAGGCCCATTCAACCTCACTCCTCAGGATGTCTGGTTCTAATTCATTCACCACACCGTCATAACTATCCTCAATATTATTATCCTTCCTATACAGATCTTCTGTATAGTCTCGCCACCTTCTCTTGATCTCTTCAGCTTCTGTTAGGTCCCTGCCATCTTTGTTTCTTATCATACCAATTTTTCCCTGAAATTTACCTCCAATGTTTCTAATTTTCTGGAAGAGGTCTCTTGTCCTTCCTATTCTGTTGTCTTCCTCCACTTCCATGCATTGCTTATTTAAAAACAGTTCCTTATCTCTTCTGGCTAACCTCTGGAATTGCGCATTTAACTGGGCATATCTCCCCTTATCCCTGTTTCCTTTTGCTTTCCTCCTTTCTTGGGCTACTTCCAGTGTCTCAGCAGACAACCATTTTGCCTTCTTGGTTTTCTTTTTCTTTGGAACGTACTTTGTTGCCTTCTATTTTCCAGTTGTCAATCATTCTTGTTGCCATAATCTTGTTTTTTTTTTTTTTTTTGATGTTTAGCTGCAACCCGGCTTTTGCGCTTTCTTCTTTCACCTTGATTAGAAGGCTCCTCAGCTCCTCCTCGCTTTCGGCCATCAGAGTGGTGTCATCTGCATATCTGAGGTTGTTAATGTTTCTTCCAGCAATTTTCACCCCAGCTTTGCATTCATCAAGCCCCGCACATCGCATGATGTGTTCTGCATACAAGTTAAAAAGGTTGGGGGAGAGTATGCAGCCTTGCCGTACGCCTTTCCCAATCTTGAACCAGTCTGTTGTTCCGTGGTCAGTTCTTACTGTTGCTACTTGGTCCACACATACATACATACACATACATACAATATATTATATTATTAGCATAATAATATGTATCTGGAATATTGTGTCCAACTCTGGGCACCACAATTGAAGAGATATTGACAAGCTGGAATGTGTCCAGAGGAGGGCGACTCAAAGGATCAAGGGTCTGGAGAACAAGCCCTATGAGGAGCGGCTTAAAGAGCTGGGCATGTTTAGTCTGCAGAAGAGAAGTCTGAGACGTGATAGCCATGTGTAAAAACGTGAGAGAAAGTCACGGAGGAGGGAGCAAGCTTGTTTTCTGCTGCCCTAGAGACTAGGATGCGGAGCAATGGCAAGAAAGGAGATTCCATTAGGAAGAACTTCCTGACTGTGAGAGCTGTTCAGCAGTGGAACTCTCTGCCCCGGAGTGTGGTGGAGGCTCCTTCTTTGGAGGCTTTTAAACAGAGGCTGGATGCCCATCTGTCGGGGATGCTTTGAATGCAACTTTCCTGCTTCTTGGCAGGGGGTTGGACTGGATGGCCCATGAGGTCTCTTCCAGCTCTATGAATATGAGTATTATGTATTACTATATAGTACTATACCATTGTACTGTAATATTATTAGTAATATTACATCTATCTATCTATATATATATAAATGTTCTGTGCATAAGGAGTACCTTAGGAACAAAAGAACCAATGAACGAAATCACACCAAATTTGGCAACAAAATGTCTCTCTACACAAGGAGTGACCATCACTCAAAAAATTATGATTTCGTCATTTGGGAGTTGTAGCTGTTGGGATTTGTAGTTCACCTATAATCAAAGAGCATTCTGAACTGCACCAATGATGGAATTGAACCAAACTTGGCACACAGGACTCCCCTGACCAACAGAAAACACTAGAAGGGTTTGGTGGGCATTGACCTTGAGTTTGGGAGTTGTAGTTCACCTACATCCAGAGAGCACTGTGGACTCGAACAATGACGGATCTGGACCAAACTTGGCACAAAAACTCAATACACCCAAATATGAGCACAGATGGAGTTTTGGGGAAATAGACATTGACATTTGCGAGTTGTAGTTACTGGGATTTATAGTTCGCCTGCAATAAAAGAGCATTCTGAACCCTGCCAACAACACAATTGGGGCAAATGTCCCACACAGAACCCCCATGACCAACAGAAAATACTTAAGGCCATCCAGTCCAACTCCCTTCACCATAGCAAGAAAACGTAATCAAAGCCCTCCCAACAAAGAGCCATCCAGCCATAGATATAGATTGATAGATATGATTCCCACACACACAGATATAGTATCATAGATTTGAAAGGGACCCCCAAAGAAGGACAATTATATGTTGCATGTTCCAGAGTAGGCAAACCAGACAACTTCCACATCAACACTGCCAAAGAAACAACAAGAAATACTGTTTACCCACAAGCATAAAGACATTACATATATTAGAAACCAACACTTTCTCATTACTTTATTTCCCAGATCAACAGACTGGGCCACAGCAACGCGTGGCAGGGGACAGCTAGTATGCTATAAAATATATAATTATATTAGTAGTAGTATATTGT